ATTTAAGAGTGTTTGGATCTTTTCTATACCTGAGGTTGCCGTTCTGTAATCCGCAATGAGAGCCCTGACGTCGTCTATGAGTTTGGAGGTGTTCAGAACGTGAAGTTCCTCGTATAGGCCTTGGAGTTCAGCGACTAGTCCTTAGGAGTTAGGTTTTGATTTAAATTGATTTATGTTGACATCCTGCGGGGTGATTAAGTTGTATAGTGGGAGAGGGTGTTTAGTTCCGTCTGGCCTGGTCCTGGACATCTGATGGACGGTAACTGTTTTTTTGAGTTTTCTCTCAACATCTCTTTTGATATCAATGGTGGCGTAAGAGCTTGGTAGGCCCGTGATTACAAATTTTCTCTTTTAGTTCGATTTAAGTCTAAACGTGTGAAATTCGGTATTTTTGTTTTTGAGGGTATCCACGATTTTACTATGGTCTTGTGCGGTCCTTACGAACAGTTGTATCGTCCTCCCCGTGTATTTAAGGAACACGTTCTTGATGTTTTTATCACCTCTTCTTGGGGGGGTTTCTCCTTTGTCATGGATTCTAGTGGCGTGTCTGGAACATTCCGCAGCAACGCTAACGAGTTAGAGGTGGGTATGTTTGGTATTGATTCGGTTTTCATTTCTTTGTCCTTGCAGGTTTCGCCACTTTGCTGGCGCCTCGTTAATTTTTTGGATATGGAGGTGGATGCCTTCAATTGTTGGATGATCTCCTTCGCCTAGTCTGGGGGGGAAGACATGGACTTTTGCTTTGTTGGCCGTGGATGATTTTTTCATTATTGCGTGAACTTCTTATGGGGAGATCCCTACATCGTATGCTTGGGGAAGGGGGTGCATTTGGTTACTGTAGGTGATCCACACTTGCACTGATGCTTAAACGACACAGGTATTACACGTTTATCAATCGCGAGCTGGCTGGTCGCACATAGGTTGGTAGTTGGTCGTCGCCGGCTCGGAACAACCGTTGCAGGCCGTAATCGGAGGCAATCGGAGGGTCATAAGTATACTTTGAGTTTCACTTTTAGGTTCTCGATTGCTAGAGGAGTGTGCGTTACCTACGAAGGACGCGGCAAGAATAGTTTTCATCAGTTGAGTTATTCAACTTCTTTAATTTATATATTTGTAGCGACCGCCACGGGGAGCCTACACACCTAGGCCTGGCAACTCTTGGCCCTCGAGGCGAAGAATCAAGAGATGTTTTCCAAACATCTCTGGGTTTCTTCGTCCCCGAGAGCAAGAGAAGTGCTTTGGCAATGTGGGCCCGCGCCCCCACCTCCTGGGACTTTTCCCAGGAAAAAAGGGGCTATTTAAGCGAACCCCGAAAAAGGCACGAGGCTTTTTGTCATAGACTTGCATTCTACACGCGTCGTGTCACTTACGTATGAAAATTAGTTTAAGTGTTAATTGAAATAAAATAAATATATATTTTTGGTTACACAGCCTACGAGTAGTTATTTCACACCACGTCAATTCCAAATATGGTTCTTTCGAATTTAACAATCTTTAAGATTGTGTAATGTACACATTGAATAAAGAAAATATAAAAATTCAAAATAGAAGTTACTTTTTCGCGTCAAAATACCTTAAAAAAAATCGGTTTCTAATTTTTTTAACTACGGCATACCTTGTCAAAAAATTTGAAAAAAAATTGAGGATAATAGTTATGTTAAGATGCTGCTGCTAAATAAATATAAAAGTAGTGGCTTTAATATTTCAGAAGATATCCGCTTTTTTGCGTTTTTTAGTTTTTACAACTGGGATTTGCAACAAAAAAATCGGGATAATTCCCTAACATGTGTATGCGTATACGCAATGTGCCAGATTTTTTTTCAAAATTTTTTGCGAACAACTAAATAGGGAAAATAGTCCAAAAACTGATGAATATAAACCATTCTGTAACTACCCCTTAGGTCGAACTAAAGGATTGAAAGTAAATGTCAAATGTTTTCTTTTAGTAAGCTATCGAATGGTATGTTACGGGTTTACGCGGTCTTGTCCTCACATGGAGCGTAAAACTTGTTTGGGCTTGTGGATTGGTCTAAACGTTCACCGTATGAGGGTGATACGTCGTTGACAGCGAATCCGATAGGATTGGAACCGTCGGCGTACGTGGTATATACGTCGTTCTCCGATGGATGGAAAAGGTTGGAAGTTCGACGTGTGCAGTTAACACGTCGCTGGTAAGGTTTGTGGTGGACCGGTCAGAACATTCAACGTACGTGGTTCTACGTCGTTCTCTGACAAGTCCGATAGGATTGGAACCGTCGGCGTACGTGGTATATACGCCGTTCTCCAAAGGATGGACAAGGTTTGGTAATTGTGAGGACAGTACGTACCGTAATGTCGGATATACCTCGAGCGGTTAAGGTATATCCTTGGTGAGTCTAGCAATTCCGTTACTAATGTTACGAGGAGATGGTTAATTGAATATAGGCTAAGCAATTCTACAACAACTATATTCTAATAATATTCAATTATGGGTACAATAAGATTACAATGTTTAAATATGAATTACAATGGGTGATTCTTGGCTGAGCAAGAATCTTCCATCTCGACTTTACACGGTGAGTACGCGGGGACGTCGTAGACAAGTATGTCTAGTTCACACTAACGAATTTAGTATTATACTGTGTTGCTCGAAAGGGAATTGAGCCCGATCTTGCTCGTGTCGAACGATGACTAGACAGATACTGTGCTACTTTAACGTTCAGAGGAACTCTGAAATGAGACTGCCCTTGAGCCCCGAAAATCATGCCCTTATATACTCCAAAATTTGTTAGACCAGTATGTCTAGTTGACACTTACGAATTTAGTATTATACTGGGTTGCTCGAAAGGGAATTGAGCCCGATCTTGTTCGTGTCGAACGATGACTATACAGATTCTGTGCTACTTTAACGTTCAGGGTAACTCTGAACTGTGACTGCCCCCGAGCCCCGAAAATCGTGCCCTTATATACTCCAAAATTTGTATTTTTTGGGTGGTGGGGGCCCTAATTTTCCCATGAGACCGAAGCGCGTTCGTTTACTTTATCTCAAGGGGTGAGCTCTAGGCGGATGTCTCGGCGCCGCCGTGTCGGCTAGTCTGCGTACGTAACAGGTATATCGCACGAAGTGCCTCAAGGGCACTTTTGACCATCTTATCCTGCTGCACCCTTTAGATTATATTCAAAATTATATTTATTGAGAAAAGTTTTCAAATATATTACAACAAAGTACATCAAGTACATAACAAATATTCACAATAAAAAGAAATAAATTCAGAATTTGCAGATCTTGGTAAAATGTTTACCCCACTTATCATTTAAGAAAAAAAGTACGAAAACAAGCTTGTGTTGTTAGATATATTTTAATTTTTTTTCAATACACAGCAAACTATATTTTTTTTTTTTTTGTTCATGACAAAGTATGATATATTGTGTAAGAGGTATTTAAGGATAGGAGGATAGTGCGTGATCTGGGTTACTTAGTACCCACACAGTGAGTTCTTTTTTAGTCTTTATTATTTATCTGGCTCACGAGGTTTACAATTTACTTATCGCTTACTGATTGTTTGCTTGACTGACTCTCAGTCACCTCGCGAGCTTCTTTCTCACCCTTTTCTTTTTCCTGATTGGTTACCCCCAACTTATTGGTTGTAACCAATAAGGAATTTTGTCTTTAACCCGCCGCTAGTCCTTTGCGCCCTTGGCGCGCTTTTTCCAGGACCGCGGCGAATTATGGTGGGGGCGTATTGTCCGCTGTAGCGCATTTGGCAACGCCGCGGATTTTCCTCCAGGTCCGGTACTTGAGACATGTGGCCTGGGCCTCTGGGCCCGTACGCGGACCTTTCGGCAACCCTTGGTTTATGATCTGACAAATTGCTATTGAGACCGTTGGTGAAAGTTTCTACGAAAACATGCATTGTTAGATTTACTAAACATTAAACAGACTAAAACGGTTTTCTCAAAAATAGCTTTGCTAGCGCGCACGTCATAAACCGTGTTGGTCGTCTGCGCGGCAAATGCTTGCTTCTGCACTACAGCTGGTCGCCACAATTGTGTAAAACTAACCTATTGAAAGCAATATTAGAAAAAATAATTGAGTTTTGACCGGGATTTCTCCACCGTTGGGGTAATCGCGGTAAGATTTCCTTCCACAGTTTTTAAATGTAAGAAACAAAATTATATTTCTTTTTCATTATTATGATAACGAAATTTTTATTTGGTCAAATATTTTAGTAGCATTAGAATAAAGAAAGTAAAGTCACAGGCGAGGTATAAGATAGACCTTGCACCTAAGATATTTTTTTGTCCAATGTTCTGAAATACCGATCGTGTAAAAAATCAGAGTTTTTGTTATGCCCTCTACGATATAAAGCGGCGACTTTAGGAATTATATACAATCCAACCTGATGGTATTTACCATCTTTGATGAGATGGTAAAGTCGACAGATGTAAAACATCCTCTTTTATTAAATTTGCATATAAGGATACATACATACATATATTGGATTGCTTGGACAGAGCTGTTCACAATCTTTTGACAGCAGTAGAACACGCATATGTGATTAATCATCTACTAATAAACAATTACGTTACTTTTGTATTAGTAATTTCATAGTTACGTTTAATTCCAATTCTAACCACTACTAATGTTGTAATCTCATTCTATAGTGAATCGATAACGGTAAGATTCTCCTCTGCCTCAAAGCCCCGGACAAGGAGTTCCATAAGATGCAAGATCTATCCCGTACCGTCGTCTGTGCATGTACCTTACCTGTGATGAAAGGTCTATTCTATACTTTGTTTGTGCAGACGAGATATAGAATGTGTACATCGCCTGACAAGCAGATAGCTCTGAGGTGATACCAAAAAGTAGCTAATTTCATTCAACAACAATGTATACCTCCAATAACCTGACTTAAATCTAACCATATTTTCAAAATTTTCTGAAAATGTAATTTAGGTTTCAAATTATACACAAAACACAAATAAAATTATCTCAGTTATAATATTATTATACAACAAGTATGGCTAAACCTTCAAAAAAAAAGCCGAGGAAACGGAAAGCAAAAATGACTGATCCCTTTAAAGAAGAAGAAATAGCTAAGAAAATTGCAGCAATCGAAGGGAAGAGACAAAAAGTTATAGATGAAGTTAATCTTTCATTAGAAAGAAGAAGAATGGACAAAAGAGAAATTCAAAATGCACGTTTCGAAAAAGAAGTGAGATTCCGACAAAAAATGTTAATTATATTATTAACTTTATTTTATTTAAAAAATGGTTTATTAGATATTTTAATGATTTATTGTTACAAATATTTTGGGCTACTTTGTAGGTATAAATTGATTTAAATAAAATGTACAGGGTGTTTGCGTTATTACTAGCTAGCGTTTTTTTCGTAAATGGTGAATCCACGGAAAAAATGAAAGAGAAAAAAAGCTAACAGTGTTTTAGAGCTAATATAATACCATATGTTAACATTTTATGTTTGCAACAGTTTTTAAAAAGCGATAGTGAACTTTAATTTTTTATATTAAATGTCACATATTTTTGTATGCGGTATGAATGCGACTATCAAGATGAATTCAAACACTGTGACAAAATGACCTTCGAAGTCATTTAGAAAGAAAGAAATAGTTTGAACAGTTTGATTTAGAAAATACACGCCCACACACGCATAGCATTCCTTAACAAAGGCTATTCAATTTAAATGTTTCTTTTAATAGTAAACCAGTTTAGAAAATACTATCAATTTATATAGGTATAACTAGACGGAAGTTCATTACTAATGTTAAAACACTCACTTTAAATTACCATTTTCATATTATTATTACTTCATCGCGTGTATTGCATTATTATATGATATGCAGGGTGCCTTACCTAAGTTGAAAACCTTAAATATCATCGTTGCTTTTGAACACATAAGAAATACCGGAAAAAGAATTGATCCTTATAAAGCAAGGCAAACAATTATCACCCTCGATACCATACAACTTTCATCTGAAACATTTCTTCGTATTTCTGATACTTACAAAAATAATTACATATAGACACTTAAAACGGACATACTGTGTGTGTGTACCGTGAGCCGTCGACGACTTCAGGAAATATGTAAGAACATATGTATCATAACTGCATGTATAAAAATCTCCAGAAGTACACCAGGAAATATGAATGTACCATTTGTTAATCCAGGGTGTCCGATTATGAACAGAACATGAAAATTACTGATAAACTATCCACTCTATAAAAAAGTGGATCAGACAAAAAGTGAATAGTTTCGAGGGTGATATAATTTGGTGCAATTGGGATTTCTGTAGATGGCCAGGTACAGGTCATATGTAGGTGACATACGTTTTTTTAAATAGAATCATATAATTTTAAATACTGTAATCGACCCGTCTTGCCATTCTTTATAAAAAGAGTATTAACCTATTTATGTCGAAAAATCATTAGTTTAGAAGATATTTTAATCGCAATATTGCAAAATGATACTAGTAAGTACTATGCGTCCACAAGAAGATGGCATGGCCAAGGAATGCGGTTCTGACAATCAGAAATCGGGCACATGTATCGTCATTAGTGGACGAACGCGATCGACGAATCGGAACATACACATGTATAGCACTGCGTGGCGGAAGATTTGGGCGGTGCCCCTGTGCCGTCTCGCATGCCATCTTCTCGTGGACGCACACTACACCTGTCTGTACCTTTCTTGAAATAACAGTGGGCATATTTTTTACAACGCGATAGGAGGGAAATGAGACGATGTCAATTAATATTATCGCTCAAAAAAACTCGTCAAAGTCAATATTAGTTTTCTTTCAGAACTACTGAATCTACTACAGGAATTATTACAATCACTTTGCAATACATATTGAGATTAAAATATCTTCTAAACTAATGATTTTTTGACATAAATGGGTTAATAGTTCTTTGTAGGAAATGTGCAAAATGAATTTAGAAGAAGATAATATTAAGGCTTTTAAGCATTTCTCAGGTTTGCATAATTGACATACACTAATAATGAATTGGATACATCTATTTTGAAATAATGTCCATCTAAATATGCTTTTTTTTTACACTGTATCAGAAGTTGTTGTTCTTTATCATTATCACTTTGTTCAAAATTTTCATTGTCAGTATCACTGGGTTCTGACAAACTTTCTTGACTTTCAACAGAGATTTCACTCTCCATATTTTCTATATACACTATATGTATATACTATGTTTACTATTTTCTATATACACTACAATATATGTATTCTATTATATATACACTGAACGTAGTGAACTTTATTCCATAACTAATAAGGCAATAAAGTGGCAACAGCATGGGAGTCATATTCATCAACAGATTGTAAACCCAATAGCGTACGCGGTAAAACGTTTGCTCCGCGAGTCCACGACGTATACAACTCGTACATGTCGTATGTCGTATGATACGACTTGGTGGCATGAGCCTGAGCACAGATCGTCAAGTTTTCGTAGATCGTACGTTGAACTGCGGACGATTTTCAAAAACACATACAATGTAAGTGAATAAGAGTATTCTTCATATAGTGTTTAGTCTACTCGCGTGATCTTGCCATCTTTCGAGTTTTGCTGAATTTGCACGTTTGTGCCGACTAATTACAAATTCGAAGGACCACATCCGTGTATCGAGAGACTAACTAATTTACTCGTGTTTGGTTTCCGGAAGATTTCAATGTTGCTTGTTGCTAGCCGAATGGATTCTGATTTCGAGGTCTCAGAAAAAGTTCGAAGATATCTCGGTCAGGATACATTTGGCGGGGGTGAGACACGCGGATTGGTTATTACAATTTCGACTTCGACAAGGGAGGTGGTTGACTATACGCGATTGGCAAACTATTAAACAAAGAACGAACTAAAGGGACGCCCCCAAGTCAACGGTCACTCTCAAGACCAAAAACCCGAGAAGTTAAAATATAACAAACAGATGTGGACGAGAGCCACGAGAAGAAAAGCATCGAACTTCTAAATAAACGTTAAAGTGCTCGATGGCCTCCCAAATTTACAACTGCTGCGAAGGACCGAATAATTTCCAGACCCGTGCCTGGAAAACCCCGTAAATCTAATAGGATGACTAAACATATAGTTTGGTATAGAATACAAAATGCAAGCACATTCTGTATCCATTGGTGAAACGATTATGAAATACAGGTATATGCTTTATTTTATGAAGCAACTGAATAGAAGTATTTCGTCGATACATAACAGTCAAGTACAATATCAAAATACATTTCGCATTCGAAGAAGAATTAAATTACAAGTTGATAATGTATTCGTCATTCGAATATTTTTTTAAATACTTTTTGCCCATCATTGCTAGAAAAGAAGAGTAATGAAGATTATTTTGTATACTCCTGTCAGAGAACCTCTAGATATATCCTAAAGTAATACGTGACACGCCTGGCCACTGCATACACTTAAACGAATGGTTATTATTTTGCAATGTATCATCACAACGTGGAATACAAATTATCAAAGATCATGCTAAAAGGAATCCGGATATTGCATTATATTTCATGATGAATAAATAGTTTTTCCAACACCAGATAATATTCTACGAATACGAAAAGAACACCATTGTTCAACAATTAGATGGCATAAGGGCGAAAAGAAAACATACGCGCATTTTAAATAATTATTACTGGGGAGATATGATCAAAGATATGAGGCATTTTGTTAGGAACTGTTTCGAATGTTAACGTGTTAAGGCGAACAGAAAACCATGTGGAACATCATTGGAATTAACCGATACACCAAAACGGTTTAATGATAAAGTTGCAATGGATATTCTCGGACCACTCAAGCATTAACTGCACAATGTTTATAACATAGCAGAGACTAAAAGAAGAACCAAGGAAAGATACGACAGAACCTGTAGACCTTATAATTACAAGAAGAGTAATTACGTAATTACGTGTGGATCATAAACGAAGGTCGGGACAAAGCAAATGGACTGAGCGTCCCATTTGAAGGGCCCTACATAATTCTAGATGTTTCATCTGAGGCAAATATTCTAATTCGGAAAAATCAAAGGTCTATGTTAGTACATAAAAATCGATACAAATTTGCCAATTTGAATATTTCAGGACGTTGATAGTTAGCATGCAAGGTAACGAGGCGCAATATGAAATTTGCGAGTTTGAAAATCTACCAATTCTTTACTTGGAGCCCTTGGGACAATTGAGGTTGTACACCGAACAATGGAAATTAGTAAGTTACCTAACACTTGAGGACCTGATCTAACAAGTGGCCCATAAGTCAATATAATAGGACCACGTATCAATTGAAAAAATGCCTGCTGCAAACTAAGAAGGATCGCGAGCGATTATTCTCTTCAGTAGGTTACCACCTCCCCTGGCCAAAGCGTGCACGCCGTGCTGTATTTAATTTTATAGGGGATGTAAGTAAATTTCTTTTTGGAACATAGGGACAATAAACGTAACGCAGAATTATTTAAACATCAAACTCAAATAGTAATAATAGTTTTAAATTTTAAGGAGAAAATCGATATCATCAATCAAAATATTTGTAAAACAGAAGGCGTAGAAAAGATTAGCCTATTAGACAAAACTATTCTCGAGTTCAGCGTAATATTAGAACTAGGAATTCTTAGCTATCAACGGAATATAGATATAACTAACCGGGCAATATTAGATGGTAGGCAAGGCAATATATCTCCTAACATAATAGAACGTTAGGTCTTCTTTGAAATAATGCAAAAATTAAGGGCAGGAGAAAGGACTAACCGGCTATCACAAGTCGCTGTTGCAGAAAGCTATTACGAGTCTCTTCAAATATGTAACATTGAAATAGGTATCCTAGATAAAAGATTAGTGTCCGCAGTCAAAATACCAATTCTTGAAATACATTTCTGTATACAATATAAAATACATTCCATACCAAGCGTTCAAATTGACGATAGTACCATTCGTTTAGAAGCCTCACAAGATTACGCAATTACAAATATGGAAAGAACACAAATGTCATCAAGTTCCTTCAAAGCTGTAAGAAGTTAAACAATGTATATTATTGTAAACGTTTGGAACCAAAGTACCGCTGGTTATCAGAAATTTTCGACAATAATACTAAAACTTGCACACCTTTTGTAAGTATTATTGCAAACTGGAGCAAACTGGATAATTATCCCGCATAAAAATGAACAAGTCCAAATACTTTGCGGACAAACTTCAGTTTTTGTAACATTAACTAGACTAAGTATCATACATTTAGAACCTAAATGTATAGCTGGCACAGATTTTATAATATTGGAACCTATACACATGTCTAATGGAATTGTTACGGAATTTGATCTTCCAAGCTATAACTTTACACTCATACATGAAACTTACCAACAATTGCTACACCATGTAAACATGAAGGAACTAAATATCCCAAAGATAGATAAATTAGATTCACATGTGCTAGGTAGACAATTGGAAGACATATACATATATGTAGTTAAAGAAGCTGAAACAATAGGTATTGACAAACGAATCGAAAATTAACGGCAACGAGATTTGGAACGTACCCTGTATATGGATTACTACCTATATTGATTATTTATCTAAGCTATAAGCTTCGATTAATGCAATTCATTAAATTGTGTTTTTCAACACTAACACGTACTCTGCATTTACAACACATATAATAATATAGTTGCGTCCAATATACCACAATTCTATTTGAATTTTGCGGGGTCGTAATTCATCATCTAAGACAAATTGAACAGATATTAGGCGAATGTTAGCGAATTCTACTCGAGCAAGAAATAGATCGAGGAATATGCGATGTAAAAATAGAAATAAAGCAATATCTTTAATCTAAGCGAAGGGGTATTATACTTTGAAATATTCTCTTTTACTTGCTTTTAATCTTATCTTTATCTATAACCAGTCAGCAACTTTCACTATTACTCATACTGGATTCTTCACCTTCCAACTCGCCTCTCAACTGTCCTACACAGTCATAACCCAAGGTTTATTTTTCCCAAACCCTTAAATGGCCTCATTTTTCCATCCTCGAGGCAGTGTTCGTTTTGTCACACGCATGTCACATTCTGTTAAGTTTCGTTAGTTTTAATAAAGTTCTGTTTTCTACGCAACGTCGATCTTTAATTGGTTCGATTTAAGTGTTACCGGGCATCACAACAGGAATACATAAGAGAATAAACCACTTTTATGAAATTTCTAATTTGAAATTTCAGATGCGTTTCTCTTAAACAATAATAGAAATACACATTATTTACATCTATTTACCACATACATTCAATGAAAGTATGTAATTACACTGTCTAACAAATTTTGACCTTCAGAAAAATCTGCAATATTCATCGGGTGATCCTTGTAGAGTTTCTCGTCCCAAACACGAATCCGGAAGCAGAATTGCTCTATCATACTCAGTTTTTGAAAAATATGGATTTTTGTGAAAACCCACGATTTTTGACAAAAGTGAGGCATTGCGTGAAAACTCAAAACGCTAAGAAGTTCCATTTAGTCTTAAAAGATAGAGGAGAGTGTCTTGAATATATTAGCGTATACAGTTATTAAATTTTGTGGTTTTGGATGGTTGTAAAAACGAGCCGATGTGCGTACCTTCTACACAATACTTTTGCATTTTTACAGAAAGTTCTTTATCTAGCATAAATTTGCTATACAGAATCGAATTCTGTAGACATTTCTTAAGAAACCATTCAGAAAATGTGTCGGAAGGGTTTTGAATTCGAACAGGTTGAGGAAATATCCGCTGGCAACATGTGTACGGTGTTTTGCCGTCATGCGGCCATCGCTCGTCTTCGCCGACTCCGCAGTGCCGCAGCGACGCGTAGGTAATCGTTTCATAGTCAAAAACATTTTTTAAATTTCGTCGAACTACAGGAAAAATGAAATATATAAACTGAATATATAAAATGAAGACCTACCTGGAGCATCGCTCACGCAAACAAATTTAAAAGTGTTTTCGTCGTGCTTGACGTTTATACTTTTCGTCCAATAGGTAATTTTCAACATATTGTTG